TGTTCTGCAGCCGTGAACACAACAGGTACCTGAACTCAGTACGGCTCTTTTAGTAAACTTTATGATTGATAAATAAATGTGAACAAAACAAAAACAGAGTTTTATCTGCTAAACTGACTGTAAACGACTTTCAAATAAACTGCGGTCTGTGCTTCGTTATCATGGTTAACCAATGCTTAATGCTACTTCCTGTCTGACAGGAAGTTGTACCCAGAACAGTGTTGCCAGATTGGGCAGTTTACTGCCAGTTTGGAAGTTTTCATTCTGATTTTGTGGGGAACAATTGCTTTGGACGGGTTTGGATCATTTGGGCAGATTTGGAGTCAGATCTGTGGTTTTTGAGTTAACCTATTAAACACATTTCAAACAATCATTCATCATTATTTGTCCATTAGCAAAGTTCCCCTGACCTTTCTCCAGGGTGTTCACAACAGAGAACTGGTGAGGCAGTTAGTAGACACCTCACTGGGTGGGCTGACCCGTTGCAGCAGTACGTCGGAGCGGCCGCCATATTGAATGTGGCAGAACTGCATGTCCAATAATACAAGGAAATAGACTGAACTTCATAAAGCACTCTATCCTGATGCATGCTCAATAATCCAGGTAGAAAAATCTAAAAAAGTTAAATCTGGTCCTCTGGACATTCAAAAAAACATAACAAAGCAAATCAACAAAAAAATGTAGAAACGTTTCGTCTCTCATCCGAGAGACTTCCTCGGTCTGAGGTGCTGTTTTCAGCTCAGTCTCTTAAATAGCACCTTCTCAGAGTGGATCAACCAGTTTGCTGCTGACAACCAAAACCAGCTGATCACATGCTCAAGAAGGACCATCAGCCTAACAATGGATCATTAGCACACTGATGGCTGTTTACTATTCACAGAGGGCTGAGTGATACTAGCAATCACAGCATTGTAAGAGGGGGACAGTTGAACCCGGAGGCCTCCACCCCTGTTTAACGATGGACGATTTCTTTTCACAAAGATGGCCTCCTTTACTCCTCTCTCAAACCATCATTCCTCTCTGTCCAGGATGTGCACATCTTCATCCCTGAAAGAGTGACCGCTGGCCTGGAGATGAGTGTAGACTGCAGAGTCCTGGCCTGATGATGTTGATCTTCTGTGCTGGGCCATCCTTTTGGCCAGTGGTTGTTTTGTTTCCCCGATGTAAGACTGATCACAGCCCTCCTGACACTGAACAGCATAAACAACATTGCTCTGTTTGTGCCGGGGGACTGGATCTTTGGGATGAACCAGTCTTTGCCGTAATGTATTTTGGGGTTTAAAAGCCACTGGGACGTTGTGTTTAGAAAATAAACGTCTCAGTTTCTCTGATACTCCCTCAACATATGGAATGACCACTGGTCTGGGTCTGGGTTCCTCCTTTTCACCTGTTGGCTGACTGGAGTCCTGTTTGGGTTTCTTCTCTGCTTTCAGGAAGGCCCAGTTAGGATATCCACATTGCTCTAGAGCCTGTTTTGGGTGGGATTTCTCCTTCTGCCTGGCTCCTGAGCTAGTGGGGATGCTGTCTGCTCTGTGATACAGAGTCCTGATGACTCCTAACTTGTGCTCCAAAGGGTGATGGGAGTCAAACTGCAAATACTGGTCTGTGTGGGTGGGTTTGCGGTACACCTCAGTTTGCAAATGTCCTCTATCAGAGACTGAGACCTCACAGTCCAAGAAAGCCAACCTGCCATTTTTTACATCTTCTCGTGTGAACTTGATGTATTTATCCACAGAGTTGATGTGGTCAGTAAAATGTTGGACTTCCTGAGATTTAATTTTAACCCAGGTGTCGTCAACATACCTGAACCAATGGCTTGGTGGTGTCCCTGAAAAGGACGTCAAGGCTCTCTTTTCTACCTCCTCCATGTACAGGTTGGCAACAATAGGAGAAACTGGAGACCCCATACACATCCTGGACAGAGAGGAACGATGGTTTGAGAGAGGAGTAAAGGAGGCCATCTTTGTGAAAAGAAATCGTCCATCATTAAACAGGGGTGGAGGCCTCCGGGTTCAGCTGTCCCCCTCTTACAATGCTGTGATTGCTAGTATCACTCAGCCCTCTGTGAACAGTAAACAGCCATCAGTGTGCTAATGATCCATTGTTAGGCTGATGGTCCTTCTTGAGCATGTGATCAGCTGGTTTTGATTGTCAGCAGCAAAACTGGTTGATCCACTCTGAGAAGGTGCTATTTAAGAGACTGAGCTGAATACAGCACCTCAGACTGAGGAAGTCTCTCAGATGAGATGAAACGTTTCTACATTTTTTTGTTGATTTGCTTTGTTTTGTTTTTCTGAATGTCCAGAGGACCAGATTTAACTTTTTTAGATTTTTCTACCTGGGTTATTGAGCATGCATCAGGGTAATGAATGGATGTTTCTAAAACACATCAGAGAAAATCAGTTTGACAAAATAGCTTTTCTCATACTTTAATTATTTTCACGTCAAAGCTTAATGCAGCTGTTTTTAATAATACACAATGTCTGTCGGCCTTTTTGGAGAGATGGAAAAAATCTTTATGAACAATATTCAAGTGTTTGCTTCTCAAGTTCCCCCAAACTGCTGATAAAATAATGATCTTTTCTCTGTTTCTCAGTCCACATGTTGTAAAAAACTGAGATTTTCTGTCGCGTTTGCACCTCCTGTCCACACACAAACTGAAAACAGATGTTTTTAAACACACTAGTTATTAGTGCTTCTAAACACTTTGTGCTGTAGAAACCAACACAACATTGTTGTTTACATCTGTCTCACGCAGCCTGTCTCCATTAAACTTTAATGGTGTTTTGAAATGCTTGGTTATTAATGGTTATTAAAGTGAAACAAAGAGCTACAAAATGTTTAGCTGTTCGTTCTCTGTGTTTTCAACATAGGGTGTGTAGAGCTGTGCGTGTGTGTTGTGATGATCCTCAGCTGCAACAAGAGTCACCAAGTCAGGGTTACAAAGGTCGCTTTGTTGCTGTGGCAGCCATTTTGAACTGAGTTGACTACAAAACTGAAACAGTTTTAGATGTTCGATACATTCGGTGATTACGGTGTGAGTTTCATTGAAATCCATCCAGTGGTTCATGAGATAACTTACAAACATGCACACACACAATCCCCCTTCTATCTTCAGTTGGGGGATATTAATATCTACGTTTGGTTTGTCCAGCCAACAGATCATGAATGTTCTTATAGTTATCGATATAACACACGTTGGACAAACACATTTATTTCAGATGCAGACGGAGCAGGAGGAGCGTCAGGGCAGAAAAATATGTCGTTATGGTGGGACCTCCTTTATTTTTAACAAGCATCTTGGCTTTCATTCTCACAATATTTGAGATATTTATTCAGGAATATTAGTCTGTTGGACATAACGTTTAGTAAAATGTGCTGAAAAAAAACTTCTGCAGCTCTAAACTTTTGTAAAACTTGGAAAAACCTCTCTTGAGCACAGAGACATTGGACTCCAGTGGAAGAAGGTCTTCCACATTTTTATACCAGGGCTATTCAACTGGTGGCCTGGGGGTCAAATCAGGCCCACAGATGAACTCAGTTCGGCCCACCAATGAATTCATTTATAAATAATACTAGATTCTGAACCATAAAACAAACTTAATGACAGTAACTGCTGGATGTCCGGTCCCTGAGCTCATGGCTTTCAGTAACTATGGCCCCTTGAGAAATTTAGTTGAATTGCCCTGCTTTAAACTTCCAGCCGGAGGGGGCCCTCCAGTTTGCCTTAAGAACACAGACAGTTGTGCATGAGAATGCCAAAATTTATATTGATCCGATGCCAAGAAACTACACAGTGAGTTAAAAGTGCAGCCTAGCTTCATGTAGGGGGAGCAGTGCGTGGTGTTTTAGCATCAAAATGCTAAATCTGAATACAGTAGTCCCTCGCTACTTCGCGGTTCATTTATCGCGGCCTCACTCTATCGTGGTTTTTCAAAATAAGATTGGACATGACACACAACTGGCTGATTGATGGATGAGACGCACAATCGGCATGTCATTTTTATGTAAATTAAATTATGTTAAATTATTTAGCACCTGCTGCATCTTTGTGCCGCCCACACTGCAGTAAAATCTTCCTCCTGCAGCTGATCAGCTGTTCCATGCAGAGCGGAGAAGTGGGCGTGGCCAACAGTGCTTGCAGGTGGCTGAGTGCAGCCGGAGGCAGAGAGCTGAAATCATGACATGCTGTGCTCTGTTAGAGCGTTTAGAGTTTAGAAACATTGTTTAGAACATTGCAAGAGTGGGGGAA